ACCACCACCACCACCACCACAAATTAATCATGGCCTCCCTCGTAGATTTGGGCTACAACAAGGCACCTTCGGGGTATGCGATGACCACGTACATATTCACTGTTACGCCTGCCCTGAAACTAAGCCAGCCTAAACCCTGAACCCTACGCCCCAACACCCCAACACCCTATAAAAGCCCTAGATTGCTACACCATATAAACGCCCTAGATTGCTACTCCCTAAGCCTGAACCTTAAGCCCTTCTTCCCTTGCTCCCGCAGTCCCTCAACCCCAAAACTGGCAGGCCCAAGGACGGCAGATGCTTGCTAAGTCAATGCTGCAGCGGCAGTTGGCAGGCACAAGGCGCCCTTCTTTTCATGTCAACAGGTTTCGGGATTTAGTTTTGTTCCTGCAGCATTTTGGGTTCAGGGATTTAGCTGTTTTTAGTGGATATGTGGTATGGGGCGCAGGGATTGCGGTGCAGACAGCGCGCTCTGGTCAAATATGGTGGACCTAGAACAACCCCTCACCCATTAATTCAAATCGAATACTAACAGGCCCCAAAATGCGTGTGGAAAATATTACATGTCCCGTTGAAGAAGGACAGTGGTTGTTGTAGGACCTACCTTGGGCTTCCACTTTCGTTCTTGGGAAGGTAACCGAAACTCGCGCCCTCAGGGCCGAGTCTTTGCACCCAACAACCCAGCTGGCTTCTCAAATGCTGATGTTGTAACATGGGGGCCTCAGTGATGAAGATCAGGGTCTACGGCATGTCGTAGGATAGCTATGTCCGGCATTCAGGGCGTAGGCTAATCCCGTTCTTTGTACGAGCCTTGCCGAGCGGTGCGAGGTTACAATTCACGGCATTTGCAGCAGGGCCTCCCTGCCTCAGCTGTAGTAATAACTTGGAAGCGCTCCCGAACCCGAGCCCAAGACTTCAAAACTTGGGAGGAAAATGCTCCAGTTGTAGCCACGCTTGAAGCTTTGGTCGCGTCTCTCGTCGTTACGGTTATGGCGCAGAGTAATGTTTCGTAGTGTACCTCTTAAGCTTCAAAGCTCAAATGCAGGGAACAGATCCTGTCCATGGCCTTCACCGGATGGCACCAGCACCAGCGCATTTCTCAGGCCTGTTCAGCCGGAGTCTTTTCGGAGCATGTCAACCTCATCTTCTTTGTGACTGTAGCAGTTACTTTATTCATTGTAATCGCATGCAGTTGCTTCGGTCTCTTTGCTGTCAACAAATTCTAGGTGTGCTTACAGGCAAGCGTTTGCAGCATGGCTTGAAGCGAATGTTGGATTCCCCCTACAATGAAGCCCCAGACCCCCCTCGTAGCGGATGCTTCCATTTTCGTGTCATTAGATAATTGTAATATCCTGCGCTGGTTTCCAAGATGCCAGAAACTAGCAGTCTTCAAAGGGCTCTCAGAAAGGCCAACCAAGATAAAGGAGTGGACGTTGGCTAGGGGTTTGGCTCGGGGGTCGTTTTTTTCTGTAAACTACCTGGAAAGTTGGGTTGGTCTCGGGGGCGGAGTGTGCTGGGTTGAGAGAGAGGTTGGGACTGCACGACTGAGCTTGTAGCATAAATTCTTGGGTGGAGGCAGGGGGAGGTTTGGGACATTAGTACAGAGATTGAGGATGTGGTGGGAGTTTCAATCAACCTGTGTGATGTTGTCATGCTCTGGCCTTGCTGTGAAACTTGAGCTGGAGGGCCCTAATCACGACCTGAGGCTTTAACTTGGCCCGCTTTGACGGAAGCCTGTCTTTTGGGGGTTGCGGTCTCCAAACCGCAACGTTGGAGGCTGATCTCTCAAAAGGTAGAAAAGGTAGGGTAGAAGCTGGTATGCCTCTGAGAATCTCCGCTTTCACCACCTTGCATCCTCTCAGGACTTTACCCTAGGCCCTGCCGGGCCCACGTGGTTTTCAGACGGCCTCAGAGGAAGAATTGGCGGCGACTACTTCTCGCAAAGCCTCCTATGAAGTCACCTTGAACATCAAGCTCGAAACCCCAACCCCGAACTCCAGGCTCTCAACCCCAAGCTTATAACCCTCGACTCCAAACCTTTGTCACGTTCTTGCCTGGGAGGGTCAGTCCAAGCGCCATGGCTCTGTGGCGGCTGCGGCTCTCGCGAAATGTACCAGGCAGAGCTTTGCAGGGTTTTTTGGGTGGTACATGCAGTGTAGAGGAAGGTTTAATTTATCTGGGGGTCTGAGGGGTTTAGGGTTTAGGGTCTGGAGCTTCGAGGTTTGGTGTCTCAGATTTACGTAGCATTTAGGGGTTTAGGGTTCGCATCGGGCTTGCGGGTGTACAAGGGGTTAGTTAGCGCCTTGTGATATAGGGTTCAGGGTGTACGATGCAGGGTTCAGGCTTTAGAGATAAGAGTCTGGGGTATACATAGAGTTGAGGGTTTCAGAATGTGGGAGTTTGGGTTAACTACCGGTTTTAGAATTGACAGGTCCGCGGCTTGAGGTTAAGGGTCTACACACAGGGTGGGGGACCTCATCTGGAGAACAATTCAGAGCGGAACCCCAATCTACTCTTCTATCGGGTGCTGAGTAGGGACTGAAGGAAAGAGGATCCATATAAAAGTTCGGCAAACTGCCACACAGGAGCCCTTGTAACCAGATGCCCTACTGCCCAATGCACCAAAAAATTCTCCCCTGCCCGACTCAGTTACTAAGCACCCAATTCTGGGCTGTTGACGTGTCATTTTATCAGGCTCCTCTGCATCTTGGATGGCCACACGCTCCTTAATTCCAGGGTCTGGTGATGGGTCACGCTAAACCCTAAAATCATAAGCCGTAAGCCATAGACCCGAAACCGCAAATTCTAAGGTCTTGACACCTAAACCCTGCGGTAAAAACCAAAGCCACATGTGATGAAGTGAAACGGTGGTTATGAGCTTGAACCTCCATCCAGCAAGCCCAAACTTGAACCCACCTCAACAGCTCCTGGGATCCCAGAAAACCTCAGTGTGATTCAGACTATACAAAAGTGAGCCCGAAACTCTACATCCAAAGCCCCAACCCGGATTTCTTCAGCTTTGGGCTTTATGACACATTGCGGCGCAAGAGCTGCAAGCATGAAACACTTGGTGTGCCCCTAGACTCCAAACCAAGAACTTGAACCTCAATTCTCTGCCCACCAAAGTGTGTCTGTGCTTCGGTCCTTGTTTCGCCATGGATGCGCCTTGCGCGAAGCGGCCACGAGCCGCCGATCAGGCGGGCAATCTGAGTGGATAACCCCCACAAGTCCCGAGATTGTATTGCGTGTTCTTCAGATCTATGCGAGGTTATGTAGAGATATATGGCTTGTGCAACCGCATTACAGTGCGGGGCATGTAGGTTTAAGGTTGGTAAAATTTGTGGCCTCGTCTTAAGACTAAGATGAGCAAAATCTGTGCATATCCAGAGGGCGTGATTCCAGAGGCTAGTTGCAATCATCACGTCTCCTATGTAAGGGTCTCTCAAAATGAGGATACGTTTGGGGGCTCGAGGATTTGCAGTGAGCATGAGGAGTCTGTAGGTCTCCAGTTAAAGTATCATGACGCCCTTTGAAGTGTCAACATTCGCTTGCTTTTCGGAATTGTTCATGCCCTGCAACCTGGTAGGGCGGGTGCATTTGCAGGGACCAGAAATGTATTCGGCGCGGTGGATGCAAGGGTCTACAGGAAGAGTACCAGGTATATCCAACCACTCCAGATGGGACGGCCTAAATGAAAAACATAGAGAAGCAAATGAAAACACATACAGAACTTGGGAAAGAAAACTGGGATTATAAGGTGTTAGGTATGGGAAGTATAAGTTGCCGCCAGCTTCGGGCTTCAATCAGCAAAGCCGCCCAGAGGTTCGAGCCTGCGCCAGCCCGCAGCAACTGCCACCAGGCATTGTTTTGGAAGGGTTTAGGGCTTAGGGGCTGTTGTGATGTGGTGAAGAAGCAATGGTTGCTGGCCACAAAGTCCTTTCCAGTCTTAGGCATAGTTCCCCCCAAACCTATACTACACTAATTGTTGCCCAAATCCCCAGGCTCGCAACTTCATCACCTGCATCTTCCCATCATAGTCCTGCATTCAAGCCCTTACCTCAAGCTTAAGCTCTCAGCCTGCGCGCCTGAACCCTGAAACCCTTCCCTCATCTCCGAACCCCATCTTAAAGGTCTGTGGAAGATTTCCAGGAGCACGTCAAGATATGCCAGCTGCAGAAGTTCAGCAACGCGGCTGCTATTAAGGTGCAGATTTCAGGGTTGAAGACCCCTAAGTTTACAGTTCAGGCTGTCGGGCGTGGAGCTTGCAGAGCCGACGGTTACCCTATGCATGTATGTATATATATATGTATATACATATATACATGTATACATGTATATATATATATAACTGTAAAGTTTCTTGGGTCGTGGCGAACCCCGTGTGCCTGAACAGTTCGTCATGTTGAGCACCACATGAAAAGGTCCATGTTGGTGTGCAGGGTAGGAGTGGTTGAGCGATGTCAGCCCGAGCAATTAGCCGTGCTCAGTGATGAGTGTGTGGTCGCCCAGACGTAGACTTTGCGAGTCCCAAGCCTTACGTCCTAAACTAAAAGCTCTAAGCCCTCATCACAGCCCTTGCATCGTAAACCCCAAACCAAGATAGATCCTAAGTCCCAGACTCCAAAATTTCGACCTATAACCCGAAACCTGAGGCCCAAACCCAAAAACTAAAATCCATTGACGGGTTCCCGCCATGGTCGGAGGTTTCGACTATTACGTACATGGCCTCGTTGAAGAGTCCGGAGAGGCACCCCGGCAGCTAGAAAAGGATCTAGGGTTGATGAGCGCTTCAGGTACGAGGTATATTTCTGCCCATTGCGTATATGCATACAGATACACATACATGTATTTTGGGGGGTGTCTATTAGTCTCGTGTGGTTTGGATATGCATACAGGCGTTAATGGCTTATGGTGCCTTGCGGTTTCCGGCTATGGGTTTGCAAGTAGCAAATTAAAGTACTGCATCGACGGCAGCTGTGGCTCAGTGACGCTTGCGATTGGCTGCTATTGGCTGAGTGTGTCTGTCGAGGGGACCATCAGAATCCAGCGTAGTTGAAGCAGCTGCCAAGTATACTGCCAGGTGCTTGAGGCAGTGCGAAGCAAAGCCGACAGTGGCAGCCGCCGGTCTGAGATTTCAACATGTCCATTCCGCTACCATAGTAAAGAACATCTATGGTTTGCTTTTACGGCGTAGTGTGTAGGGTTAGCATATGGGATTATACAGCGGATCATCTTAGTTATCGGATCATCTTAGCTATCGTCACAAGTAACCACCAACGCGAGATAAAACGCAGAGCTTCACGGAGGCCAGCAGGGCTTGTTGTTTGAGTGGTTGAGAGCAGGGAATCTGCATCGTTCTCCACTTCTGAACCCACTGCCTTCTTTTTTTTTTCTGAGGGGGCGACTGTGAGGGCAGGATAGGCGTTTGTTTGTCTAGGCCGCCCTCATCCAGCAAAGAATGCTTCAATGGCAAATATATAGGGACTCTTACTGAATTATGGATACCCTGGTCACTAGTTGTGGGGGCCTAAGCTAACCTACACCCACTTCTGAGCGCTAGGGTTGATAGTTTGCAGCAGTGTTTCGGGTTGGGGTTCAGGGTTCAGCATCGAGGTTTTATGGATGAAGAGTGATTTAAACTTCAGGCGAGATCATTACAAAGTTGTTGAAACAAGGGATACCTTCACGGCCCTACAGCGATAAGTAGCGGTGAGTTGGGACTTGCAAGAAACGTCGCTGTCAAGACTGATTTTGTAGGTGCTTGTAAACACTGTCTTCCATAGATCAGAGCTTGACTGTCAACTCGCAAACTCCGCGCCTACTCACCCGATACAGACAAAGCTTTGGAGCTCTCCCCCAGCTTGGGTCCAGTTCCAAAGAGTACGGCAGAGACAGCACAGTAGGAGCCTGAACATTTCCATCTCATTATGAGTCCTAATATGCCTTGTATAGGTAAGTAGAGGCTACGGCGGCAGCTCAGCAGGGGAATGAGGGAATGGATCCCTGCACAACGTCCCGCATAATTCACCATGCAGACTAGTTTTGCACCAGAAGCTTGAAACGGCAGCCTTTCGCCCACAAGCCCCAGGCGTGGGCAACGAGCTCGGCGACGTATCTTTGATCTTGTTGAATAGCATTTCCGACTTGGTCATGGCTAACGGGCTCAGATCTTTTGGATGAAGACAGGCCTGACACACATTGAAACTGCCGTTGTTTTTTTCAGTATGACCTCAGCAAGCTTAGGTATTGTGGTATGCCTTTGCTTTTTGGAGGGAACTGACAGGCGCCATGGAGCTTGCGGTATGCGAGTTGGGCCTTCAGAGATTTAGGCTATAACGGCTTGGGGCCCAGGGCAAGCTTCAAGAAACTTAGGATTTAGGACTAGGGTTCGATGTTCAGGGCGCCGGATTTGTGGGTTTTGCGGTTTAGAGTTTAGGGCTCTCTGCTGCTGATATACAATGTAAAGCTGGGCAATTTAAAGCGACCTCACCCGACCTCATCTTAAATGGTGCTGATAATTCTAAACTACCCTGAATGAAAGGTACGAGATCGCTCGACACCCGAGCACAGCCCTGAACCCTACCCAACCCGCGCCTTTACAAGAAGGAAGCCTCAAGTAGTGCTGTTGGTAGAGCGACCAACCGATAAGCCGATAAGCAAAAATACCCAAGCCCAGAAGAAATCAGAAGAAGGAATCTGTAACCTAGACGGGCAGAAAATCAAAGCCCTACACCTCAAAAAGCAGTTCAATACAGCTCCACCCCTTTTCTGAAAAGGCGAATCTTTGCTGGAGACTTGGCCCGGCCAAGTTGAGGCCCAAGAAGTTGAGCCCGAGGCTCCGCAAAGGGGGAGGGGGGTTGGAGGGAATAGGCTTTAGGGCAGTTCGGGGTTTTGAGGTTTTTGGTCTAGAGTGTGAAGGTTTAGGGCTTTGAGGTATGGCTAAGGGTGTTAAGGTTTAGAGTTTGAGGTTTTGAGGTATATGGCTCAGGTTAGGGTTCGAAGCTCACGGTTTAGCCTTTGAAGGTTTCAGGTCATAGAGTTCTAGAGTTCAGGTAAGGTCGAGGCTTTTACGGTTGAAGGTTTCAGGTTTAGGTTTACGGTTTTGGCGCATACCTACCTGTCCAGTGGATGCCTTTCAATCTTTGTTAAGTTTTTGCTGTAACACAAGCTCGAACATCAACCAAAACATCTCCCGCAACGGCCGTAGATGCTGGACGCCTAAGTTGGTCCTTCCCTCTTGCAGTAACAGTCCTTGAGGCGGTTGTGTTAAGGGGCTACAATGCTCCTATTAGGGTCCGATTACATCTTTTGCTACTTGCTACTACAAGGGGACGGGAAGGACATAGTCTATAGGATAATTGGTAGGGACCCCGATAATTTCTGCATGATCCTCATAGTTTGTAGGGCGATGGTAAGGACAATTTTGAGGAGGAGAAGACCAGCCAATCCCTAGCACGAGGATCCAGAATGCGGAGCCCTTATCCCTAAACCACGCGTGTTGCGCAGTTGAGGTGCTCTTGTTAGCAGCCGCTTCCAAGCTGGCAGGCGACATAACCGGGTTTACGACTTTGGCGGGCGCAGGTTCCAAGCAGCTAAGCTTTCCTTGAATTGTTGTGATGGGGTGATGGTTTTCCGGGGGTGACGGAGAAGCTGCAAATGGTATTATTGGGTGCTTCGCAGTGGAAGTCGCTTTTGGATCAATGCCTGACGGGTTTATGATTGCTTGAGGATTGTCGCGGAATGCAAAGTACTTGATCGAAACGACACAATCACGCCAAGCGCAGGGAAGGACAAACGAGTTGTAACCAGGAAATATCCCATGGTCTCTTATGGCTACTTGGACCCCAAAGGTAGGTGAAATGGTGGAAGAAAACCAATGAAATTAGGCACAGATTGCTCTTGATACGTGGGGTCTGATATATACATATATGGTACCCCCTCCCAAGACCCACCTTTATATGGTGGCCCCTGCTCCAGGAATCCACGCCTGATTCAAAAGTAATGGCCAGCGCAGTGAAAACACCTAATTTCATACCTTTTGTTTAGAGCCCAACAAAAGGAAAAGAAACAAACAAGAAAGATACACACGCCAACAAATCTTCATAGATAAAAAAACACAAAAACACCAAAACACACAACAACCATACACAAAAACAAACCTTTTGACTACATAAGTTGGTTAGCTTTAAACCCAAAAATCAACAAAACAAAATCCGAGAAAGACAGCAACAAATCTGACTCCATATCTTGGGCTGCCCCAAGGTATGTAGTCAGATTTTGTGTGTGCTGTGTTTGTTTTCTTTGCTGTTTTCAATTTTCCGGTGTTTTTTGTTGTTCGTTTTTTGGTTTTTATGTGTTTTTGAATTTCTGCAGCTCCGGGACCGGACTACGGGACCTGGGACTGTAGTTTTTCTTTTTCGTCATTTTCGATGTTTCTCGTCTTTTCTATTTTAGGCTTACAGTATTAGACATAGACCTCGTCGAGTTTTCACATTATTCTCACATTGACATGCGCTTTCGTTATAGAGCATAGGCCATGTGCTAGAGCATTGTGCCGGACTTTTCAATTTTGTGGGCCCGCGTATAGTATCGATAAGGCTGCTCTTATGTACTTATTCTTAGAAGAGAAAAGATTTGTTTTTCTGAAAAACATAGTTTTGATTCTATACATGGACTTATCCACAGCGCATTATGAAAAATAAAGTGCTTTGAAATGTTAAAAGATATGTCTGAGTTAGACTCATAAGTTGCTCTCCATAGGAGGAAAGAACGCAAGCTCCAGCTCATTCTATTGAATTTCTGTGCGATCAGAAAGAAATACCTGCAAGGAACTGGAGCTTCCACCTCTCTCAAGTCAATTCTATCTCTCTCTCTCTCTCTCTCTTACCTTTATTGTGGAAAAGAGAGAACTATAGTATTTAGTATTTGGTATGCTCCTTCCGCCAAACGAAATACCGGCAAAGAACTGGAGCTTCCACCTCTCTCAAGTCAATTGAAAATCTCTTTAGTCTTCATCGTTGTGAAGAGACTTCTGTGCCGTTAACAGCTGACGTTTATTTCTATTGGTATCCTATTTAGTGAGTTATTGATT